GCTACTAGGGGATCGGATTCATCACTAGCATAAGCTCGGAGGTAGTGGTTAACATCAGGCTAGATACCTGGAGGTCGTGGGTTCGATTCCCACCCGAATCACTTGCGAATTTTTCGCCAGTAGGCCCTATTTGGAGACGTACTGAGTATTCGGGACGTTTACACGTCAGTAGGGCAAAACATCACTCTTATGATATTTCCTGACACAAATTCTAATCCTAATTATTTCCATTCGATGATGATTTAGCTTTAGAGAAAACGAACAAGAAGAAATGTTTTAAAATCTGATGGTGAGGCTGCAAAACCCTTCCCGTTGTTTATCACCAAATTCTTCATCCAGCGGCTAGAAACCAGAATAATTATTGTACTAGATAAATAGAATAATTTCATAGTAATAATTCAATATATTCTTAGCCAGGGTGATAAGAATATTCTTATTTAAAGGTATGTTCTACTCTAATTTTTAAAAATGTTAACAATAAAATACAGAACAAAAATAAACACATCAAACAAGTAGTGCAAGTTTCTTGTGGTTCAATAAAAGTATGCGAATATTCTGTGTTCAAAGCATGATAATATATTGATGATGAAGATGTTGTAGATGTCTAGAAGCCAATATTGAATATGTTAAAATTAGCCTTAAATTAATTAATGATTATTGAATAGGTTTCCTCTTATTTGTCATCTATCTGTCTCTTATACACATCTAGATGTGTATAAGAGACAGTATATATACATATATATGTATCAATATCATTATTATACGATATATCAATTATTATTATAATCAATTTTATTATCATTGTCATCATTTTTAGTATCATTTATATTATTACAATTACCACTATATTGCCACCTAATATTATCATTATTACTATTACTATCATTACCATCATATTCATCGTCATCATTATCATAATACTGTATGATCATCAGGAATATCTATTATATTATTATTATTATTATCATCATCATTGCCATTATTTTCATTATCATTACCAATACCATTACAGTTATCATTACGACTACCACTAATATTAACAATATCACTATTATCATCATTATCATCGCCATTATCAATATCACCATCACCATCATCATCATCATCATCATCATCATCATCATCATCATCATCATTATCATCATCATCATCATCATCATCGTTATCATCGTCATTGTCAAAGATGTTGTGTAAAACCATGCAGGTAAACCTCACTATTAACATTTTTTGACCTAAAAAATGAAATAAAAACCAGAATTGTATAATTAAAACCAGGTCCGGGAAGAAAAAATATAATATACGTATTGTACAGATGAATAACTTCGAAGACACTAAAAAGCGTGTTTCTTATTTCGTTATTGGTTTACAATAAACTCTTTACATTTACATTTTGTATTCTTATTATTATCAAATCATTTGTTTTTATTAATATACTGTATTATTATCATTATCATTATTATTATTATTTATTATTATTATTGTATTATTATTATTGTATTATTATTATTATTATTATTATTATATTATTATTATTATTATTATTATTATTATTATTATTATTATTATTATTATTATTATTTTATACTATTTGTATATCACCATCTTTATTGTTATCATGATTATAATTATACACCACCACCATCATCACCATACATACACACACAAAAATATACATGTTTGTGTTGTTATCACAGTCAGAAGCATTGTTTAAAGTGAATAGCCAAATATGAACAAAAAGACAATGAGAAAAATATATAATATATATCTGAAACATCGTATCAGTTAGACTGAACAGATTTATTTCACAAAACATGGTACGGCATTCTTCCAATTGCATGTAAGGTAGGTCCAGCCTTAAAAAAACAGCGCTAAAAATATAGAGTTTTGTTCATTACCAGTGCAATTAACTTAACCAGAAAATTGCCGCCAGCACCATTCGGCGGCTCAACGCTTACCGCCTCTCAGATTAGGCCTAGGGCCTACGAACAACGACAAACACAAAAAAGAAAAACATATCGCATACAAAGACCCTACCAGAAAAAGAACCACTTACATCACAAGGTACGGTAGAGTTTTACGACCAACTTTAGCACTCGAATGTAGCGCCTAGTGAAGGTCTGGGAAACATTCGTATAGCAAATAAATAACAGGCCTATTCATAGACCGAAACTACTTTTTTTAAATAACGGTATAAACATAACTGTAATATTAGGCCCTGTTGTTTTTTTTAACACATTTCGTAAACTTTTACGTAGCAGGCCAAAGTTTTTGAAATTCATATCTTTTATAGAATATTTCGTCATTAACAATTATCGGTAAATTTCAAGCTAATTATCATTGTTGTTTATTTTTCTTAAAATAACGTTTATTCAGCAAAAACATTCCTTAAATAAAATCAGACAATATTGCAGCGGAAACTTTACTAAAGTACAAAGTACGGTATTTAACAGAGATATTGAAACTAATTGTTCCCCCGTTTGTTGCATGATATTATTAAACATTAATACCTATCGAAAAAAAAACCCCGATTGGAATCATCTTTATTGCTTCTTTGCTATGTTGATTCAAAAAAAAAAAACGTAATACTTACAATTAAATAAATATCATTAAATATTTCGTTTGAATATTAATCATACACTACTTTGTAAATAGTCTAGCGTATGCTTATTTCAGACACATCGTGTCTAATCAAACGATGTGCGTCTTATTATTTTCAAACAAAGTCCATGTTAAATAAACATATAGAATTCGGAACATCATTTAAAGTGTATGACCGGCTTTCGGATGGGTGAAGCACAACATACGTTGACCTCAGCCGCTATCAACCACACATTATTCCAATTCAATTGACTGAACTTTAAAATTTAATGAAGGCAATTCGAGATTTGGTCTTCGTAAGGCAATCAATTTGGTAATTATATTTATATTATATTCTTGTTAACAATATCCTCAGCCAATCACAGTACATTATTACAAATATAAATACTGTAGACCCATTACCGTATAGTATGCATAGGCTATATATATATATATATATATACTGTCTCTTATACACATCTATATAATATACGTATTGTACAGATGTACATTATAATAACAATAAACCAACAATGTATCAATAATTGGTCACCAAAATTGCAAGAAAATCATTGTCCATGTTCAGGATATACTTCGATTTGAAACAAAACATCCTCATTAAATAACATGCACACATACAACAAATACTTAACAAAACTTTAATTACAATCTTAAATATGATAATATACAAATATTTATGAAACTGCATAACTTGGTGGAACTTCAGACATTTTCGCGCTGCTTTACACTCAATTCCCGCCACATTTCACAAGTTTCACGCTCGTCGTTTCCACCGTAACCATCGCCAGTTTTACTCGTCATCTTGGCTTTGAGTTTTGAAGACTTGTTACCTAGCAGAAGTATATCCGTTTATCTATAAGAATCTTTCGTCAGAATAAACAATAATGTCATCTTCTGTAAGGATCAATCGTCACAAAACATTATGGCGACACTCTGCCCTCACATTTTTACACAGTTAATGCCGTTTGAACTTCAATCGCTGCTACAGGAGACGCTTGTACTTTGACTTTGTTCTTGCCTTTGTCCCATACCCTGTGAAACCAAAGCAGTCAGAGAGTTAATCACTACGCCAACGAATCTCAACAAATCCAAGTTATCATGTACAGTATACAAAATATGAAGGCATTCGTAAAATATATCATTAATGATATTTAAATTAATTGTCGATGGCCTAAATAGACTGATTTGTGTTTATCGACACAGTGACCCGATTCATAATCACCGATAGAATTATCAACAAAATGCATTTAAAGTTCTCACATATTAGTCATCACTGATTGCGAAATCTGGCCTTCGTTTGGTTAGCGGCAATAAAGAAAAGAATGTGAGCGACAGAAATGTGTACGGCATGATGCAATAGTAACTAAACTGATAATTTGTTTAACGACATACATTACTATGTGTACGTATAGGCCGATGAACACCGCGTACGACAATATTCTACCAATTAATTTCTTTTTGGCAATCGTAATCGCCTATACGATTCGCGATTTCTCAATTCGAACAGAAATACCAAAGTGATGATTTACATCACCACTGAGTTCATCGACCCCCTATTATTGTTAGGTTTCCAGGAAAACCCAAAATTGCAAAAGAAATTTTCCAAAGGATATGGATCCGATTGCCGGAAGCACCAATTCCGGAGCGACAGCTTAAGTTGTTGAATCGGAAATTGCAACAGGTTCCCAATATAAATTTTCTTTAAAATATTATTCCTCTTAATTTAGTTTCAAAAAATAGTCCACCAAGTATTGTAGTCGTCACAGGTATATAATTCTGTCATTTTTAATTTCGTAGATATTTATATATTTTGCCAAGCAATGACGTTTTTTCTGTAATGGATGAAATTATACATTTTTTAGACGGATTCAATCGGATTATACAGTAAACAGCGAAATACAAGAATTGCATTTATTGTTTGAGAAAGTATAATCTACTTGAGGGCGCTCATAGCATATGGCTTCGATCAAGATTTTTTCTTAGTCACTACACAAACGCTCAGGAATTTAGCCTAAACGATGGAATTACATTTAAGAATGTTTACAGTCTTATCTTAATCGTATATAAATAGAACTAAAATTATTCAATCGTAAAATGATGATTTATGTTTTTTAAACATGACATCAATAATTGATTTCGTTCCGACTACCAATAGAACGTACGGTACCGTAGGCTATACAGTACTGTAGTTATCGAATCGTTTTAGCTTTGTCGAAAACCGCCAGTCATGGTAAACTAGTATAAGATCGCTTAAATTTCCCATGATTTAATAATATAATGTAATGCATTTCCTTATATAAATTTACAAAATTATTCGATAACGCTTAAACAATATAGACATTAAGAAATTAATTATTTATTAATTGAATTCATTTCATAACATAACGAGAGCATACCGTCATAATTTACGATGCCTTATTTTTTAAATTGTGCCACTGATATTCGACAAGGTATACCCTCTTAAGTTATTTCTTAGAATACAGATTTCCATAAACATTAATTTCAATGAGTTTGTACAATAGGGTATGGGGAGCAATGTGTTTAACATAGCAGATGAGAAAACAGCATACAAGCATATGGAAACTAATAGGCTCCACCTGAAGGCTGATAATAATAGCAGGCCGAATAAAGTTAATTATAATAATACCATTAATAATTATGGATATTTATGAATGACCTGTGTATTGGTGAAAACTTATTTCTTAAATGAAGCAACTGAAAAATATTAATGTCTGTAGAGCGTGGCATAAAATAAGTATTGGTGCTGCAACATACTACAAAGTTCTTTGCATATTAAATCTTAAATTTCTGATATAAAATTCAAAACATTTTGTAGTAAAATGTTTGTTAAAAACTTATGTTTTTCAAACGATACAATAATAATAATAATCAGGTCTATTACTATAATCATTATCATCACTGTATGTGGGAATGAGGAAACGGTGAACGAAACCAGGTGGATCAGAACAAGGATGAGCCGTCAAAATATGAAGGGAAAATACAAAAAGCCTAAATACAGCCTGAATCGGATAAAGAGGAAGTTATACCGGTACTCTTTACTATTAACCAAGATACAGTATTTTCCCCGCATCCTAGTTTAGAGTTGCTGGTATACATATGATTTTATTGGGTTTGGGTCCATTAATATATGGGTCAGGGCACAGGTGTAGGTGTGGACGTGGGCCTTATACACCGTGGTTCAATAATCAGTTTTGCTCGTTATCCTTGTTCTGAGCCTCTAGTACGTGGATAGTTTACGGAGTCATAGCAGGTAAAAGCGCCACGATTAGACAAGATTATCGGTGGGCCACTGGATCATCTTAAATCAGCACAGTGGTATGCAGGCCGGCCTAATCTGATCGTACCTCTAATCAACTTAATTTTGATAATCATTTATAGTCCCGCACACTACCGAAAACTCGCATTAGTCAGTACAGTAATATATTTTATGTACGCGAGATTACGTTTATATATTGTTCAAATGAACTACTAGACATAAGACTTAGGCACAAATTGAAAAATGCATAATAACACATGTTATAATATAGAAATATTAAAAATTTCGTGAAAAGAAAATAAGGATTGTTGTACACACCTAACGTACCCTCACCTGGGCTTCGGCCTCAACTCGTCTTTCCTGTCGCGTGTGCAAGGTTGCTAATCGTTGTCGTTCCTCAAATTCTCGTAGTCGTCGGTTTTTTTGTTCTAATGTGTCTAAAAGTATTTTATTTTCGGTCTGAAAAAGAACGAAGCAAAACAATGTTAAATTACAATTACAATAAGTCACGGAATTTATTCAATTCATCGCAGTCACACTAAAAGCCATACAGTGCATTAGATAGCTAAAGAGTTAAAAATTCACACAACACGACTACAGCAAATTATAAAAATTTTATGTAATCAAATAAAGAATTGCATCTATTCATGTAAAAGCAATGATATTAATTCTCGCCTCGTGTAGGTTTTGTTTCGCCGAATTTTGTTAATGCAACTCTCACGGATGCCAACTTCCCAAAGAGATTTTCGACTTAAAATACAATACAAATCAACGAAGCTATTCAGTGAATTACCAATTAATACTTAATTATTATAATTAGTGACATATTATGAGACAGACGGTAGTATTAGATTAGGCCACGGACTGAACAATATCCGTCAAATTGCAAGATAACTTACAGGAAAAATCAGAGTAAGATTCTTTAGTGAAATGACAACCGGGAGGCCAATGATACAACACAACATGTGAATGCGAATACGTTCGACGTATACAAAACATGATTACCCATTCCCCATCCATTTAGCGTCAGGCTAAATATGATTACGATGACACGAAAATATAGTTTGTTGGCCCTAATTGAAATGCGACGGGAGTGACACAAAATTATAGTTTGTCGGCCCTAAATTTAAATACGACGGGATCACATCTTAAGATTCATAAGCGGAAGTTAGTCGAGCAGGCTTCTTTTTACATTAGTTTTTTAATTTGTATTGCATATATTTATGCTCTGTTTACTGAACATTTTATTTCAACCTGTTATTGGTGTTTTACACTGTTGGTTGAGAATAAAGAATAAAGAAACCCGAATACTGTATATTTTTTAGCGCTAATTATCACTTTAATATGTTCTTATGTCTACAGTGTATCCGTTACCGAACTGGTTTAAAGTTGGTTTGTCGTCTAACGAAAAAAGAGGTACCGTACGAGACAGCGTATCGAGAATGTCATTGTGTACAACATCAATACTTAAGATAACTTAATAATATAATGATAATAATAAAAAAATAACAACAACACCAATATCAATAACAAAAACTACAGCACATGAAATGAACTATAATTATGATGAGAATGATAATGCTGGTACGGTAGTGATGATAATTGCTGATGAAGGCAGCTGTGGTAATGATATGACAATAATTATAATAATAATACTATTAATATAATAGTAGTTCAATTTATTTTGCGTCAGAGAAATAAGTATTATCACAGGAGTTGTATTTTTGTCCTACCATGACGTATTATCGTACTGAATACTCAATACTGTGTGAAACCAGGCTAGTTATGTTGTTGTGCTTTCGATACTCTCCCAAATTACTTGCGATTTTGTTTCCTCAAGTATTTGGGGACATACTAAGTAGGCCTATATACTCAGTTTGATTACACGTCAGGTAGGACAAAAACATTACTCCTATAATATATTTATAATAATAATAATATTCATTTGCATACACACACAAAACACAAATTTCCTAAATCATAATATGCCTATAACGTTATAATATTTGAAGACACGCATCGCTGAAATGTATTCATCATTCTAATGTTAATTAACATTAATCTATTTTTAAAATGTGCGTCACAGAGATTGTATAGTAATTCGCTAAAAATTGTATTGCAACTTTTACAACACATACTACGCTCTATTGATGATAGAATAGAAAAGACATGGTGAGTGAGAATAGTACACCATAAAACAAAAACAATCTCAGAGTTTATAATTACACATCCTGTGTTTAAATAAAGGCGCTGTCCAGACTATCAAATGGTATTTGACAAAAACATGTGGCATGGCTAAATATGGCCATGATGACATGACCATATATAGGAACATCATGACTATATATAGGAATACAACAGTTTTTTTAGTCAAAGAAAATTTAATAGCGTGGAGCTTAATTGCTTAGGCATACTTTGTATAATTTACGGAAGTTAATATAGGCATATTCGTATGCCCTATTTATATTTTACAATAATATTCAATATTTTTTAGCTGGTGAATAAACATGCGATTTTATCTTTCAATTCTTCCATGTAAATAAATACCATAATATTACATTCAGGCCTTTTAGTTTTTAATATATTATAGGCTTATAATTATATTTTGTACATAGGCGTATCTATTTTTAAAATTATCTTAAATACTATAATTTTCGTATAGGTCTAGGTGAAATCGTCAAATTGTAGTTTTTATTTACTTTGAAAACAAAATAATTCATTTTGTACATTATAATAATGAAATTTTGAATATTTTCTGTTGGTTTTAATGACTTTTCAATTGGATTATTCCTACTCGTTTTTTCGTATGTGGTTTTCTGATTCGACTGAAATATTATATATTCATTTTGTTATGGTTTTGCAATATTAAAAATCCCATGCAATTCATGTTTTACTGCGAAATAAGGATGTCAACAAGAAGGATCGAAAAACTGCCAAGCAAAATTGTTGTCGTCGCCAATATTATAATAACAGACGCATAAAGCAATACCATTACACAAAGTAGTATTAGACCTACAATTTAAGAATTCAGGTACAATAAGTCTACAGATCGGCGAAAACTTAATTGTTTGGATATTTCCTGATAAATTATTTAATCTTTTAAAATAAAACAACAGGCCTAGTGTTTTTTTTTTTGAAATTTTGAAATTGATTTTCTACGATTCACAGTCAATATCTTACCGCTGCTGTGTCGTGGTCGAATTCGATATAGCCTAGCCCATCTAGCCTTGCAGTATCTATCCAGCCGGTCCATAACACGCTAACTCCGTTCAATATAAAATGTGCTTTTAAGTGTACCTGTAGAGTAATAAAAATATATTTATAATAAGTCCGTAATTTTATATTGTATTTATTTCTTCCTGATCAGTGCAAAAACTTTTATTACCCAAAAGTATCAGAAGTAGAAAAAGTACAAAAACAATCTACTGTAATATATAATACCGGTAGTAATTTAAAAATGAATCGCTGGTAAAACCAGCGTAGAAATCACAATTTGAATTAACACGAAACGCAATAGGCCTGGGACTATATGTTATGTTTTAATGTAGACATTTGCTATAGCGCAAAAATGTTGAAAAATATGTGTTTTAAAACTGTCTTTGAAAATGTTGAGAGAAGGGGAATTGCGAAATGCAAGAGAAGAATTCCACAATGGCGCTGTAACAGAAAATGCGCTGTCACCATAAGTTTTCAATCGACTAGATAGAGTGTGAAAAACAATATGTTGGTGGTCCGAGTGAACTGCTGCAACGACTAGACCTAAAAAGATGAACTAAATTTTCAACTGAAAGAGGAGCAATGTCATGGAGAGATTTAGGCCTATATGTAAAAGGAAGAGTCTTTAATAATGGTGTAAAAATGCGCTGATATCGTGAAAATTTTGTAAGCAGCCGAGCAGCAATGTTTATTGTAAATCTAGAGATAGATCGATCAAATGTCATGAAACTATATAATAACTATTATATTATATTCCATGATCAAATCATGTGGCGCCTTTGTGAACGAATGGACAGTTTATATATTTTTCTGTAACAAAAGAAATGCTTCTCGAATCTAACGTTAAATCCATGTGTTCTTCAGGAACGCAAACCACGATGAATTGAATCACAAAAGAGTCTCTTTAGCAATAAAAAAAACCCCCAAAATACAGTGGTTATGATTAATATTATTATTACAAAAAAAAGACAACTAAGAAGGAAAGAAATGACATTGGAAACGTGGACAACCAGCTGCAGCTACCTCATGTAGGACCGCTTGCCGGCGTCTCGTAAATCGGAAAATAAGGCGTTTACAGAGGATTGTGGTGACCAGATGAGCAACTAGGCCTATGACTCGTGAAACCAAAAGGTGTGCCTCTATCTATAGTCTATAGAACAAGATGGAACTGTTATTGTTGTTATTTTCATTGATATTATTGTCACTGATATTGTCATTATTATTACTAATACGCCTATTATTATATTAGACCTATTACTACTACTACTACTACTACTACTACTACTACTACTAGCCTATTTGGCCTATTATATTATTATAATTATATTATTTTTATTATTATTGTCATTATATTATATTTGCATTATTGTCATTATATTTTTATTTTCATTATTATTATCAATATTTCAATATGATTACAGTAAGTACTCTATTAGATTGTTCTGTTCTTAATTGTTCAATATTGCTTTAATATTATGTGTTCATTTTACGTCAGTTAATAGAGGGGGCTGGGAATAATTGTCCCTTTTTTGGGCAAATTTCGTGTTATTCCCGATATGCTCCATCAGTTCATCTTATCATTTATACTGTATTTGTTTCTGTTATTAAGAGCATATTGAATAAATCAAATCGAACTCCTAATATACTAAGCCCATACATATTTTGTCGTCAAGTTTAGTCTATTTCACAGCCAAGCCAAAAATCTATTTAAGTCGCCATACAATAGTCGGTAGATGAATCATAGCTCAACCAATAGTTCAAAACATCAGATTAAAAAGATAACAAATTTACAATTGAAACTCAAGATTTTATAGTTACCTCGCATTACAACAGGAATATTTGAAAGCTCTTTCTCCACAAAAACTGAGAAGTAAACTGTAATATACCTGATAGTTGTATTTACTACAACGTTTATGCATCCTTAATACAATATTAAAATATTTATTGGATAACAGTTTTATAACAGTGGCACACGTTAGACAAAACCTAACGGTGTATCCAAAAAACAACAAAATGTATATAGGCCTAATCAAAAAGCAACAAAAATATAAAATAAAATTCTTAACTAAATAAAAGATATTATTGGTCATTTTTCTGAAAAATACTATCAGGCCTTATCTTAATGCTGAAGGCCTGTCGTCATTTAACATCAGTCGACTAATAATACGGTAGGCCTAGTCTTGTAAACACGGTAGGCCTATACAGTAAATCCTAGGCCTATAACTTCATTCAAAAAAGTCTAATACCATAATATCATTAAAATCAGAAAAGAATTGGTACATGCTTATGCGAATTATAGATTTCTTAATTAGTGAGGAATTGCGCATGTTTTTAAGTTAATAAGAAAAATCTAAAGCTCTGCAGCTGGACTCTGCGAGTCAAGTCTGATGCCACATTTGCATTTTCAAGATGGTTCCTGTGTTCATAAAGGCTCAAACATTAGAACGAAATCTGCAAAACATTTTACAGATTTAAATTGATGTAAAATAGGGCCTAGTACTTAGTCTATTCCTAAAGATGAAGTGATTAAACTTGATATTCTGTTTTATATACTTTCAATAATAAATACGACAGCATTAGACTGAGCTTTATAAGCTCGTACACATAAAAAAAAAAAAAAAAAAAAAAAAAAAAAGCAGCTTCAGATAACAAAGCAATGTAAATTTATGTAGGCTTAAATTGTAATGGCGCAGGCCTAGTAGGATAGGCCAAGTACCGTAGTAAACTGAGAGCTTCGGTTTGCCATTGGCGGTAGGCCTAGTAGTAGGCCTGGTAGTAGTAGCAGCAGCAGCTTAAAACGCAAGTGTTAGATTTATCTTTAATCTGAAGCGCTACATTTCCATCGATGAAATGCGGCAGAATTGGCGTTAGCAATGGTCATACAGGAAATGTACTAGGCCTAACTGATCGTATGGCACTAACAACAAGTTTGTGAAAAATGACCTAGGCCTATAGGCCTACGGTGAGATATTTAGGGAGTGAAATTAAAATAAAACGTTACACCAATACGAGTAAGCCTGTCGAAATGTAAAACATCCCTTATGGAATGAACAGGGGCGGATCCAGAAATGTCCAAAAGGGGGGGGGGGCCGGAAGCGGGGGCCGAAAGTTTTGGGCCGATTGAGACAACACTGTCGTAGGGGGTCTGGGGCATGCCCCCGCGAAATTTTTGTGTTCTAGACGCCCGAACATAACATTTGAGGCATTCTGGGCTATCATTTTTTTTCTTTTTCTCTCTCTTTTTTTCTTTTTTTTACCTCCCAAAAGGGGGGCCGGGGCCGGGCCTGCCCTCCCCCCTAAATCCGCCCCTGATGAATTATGAATATTTGTTGAAATGAGAAATGACTTTCTACTTCCTAGTTACGATGGGTCGTGGTTATCAGTGTTTTCTTCCCCCACTATAGCCTCCTAAATAGGGCCTACATTATTACATTACAAATTTTACATCTTAAAGTATAAACGGGCCAACTGCAACCATTGCACCTATTTCATATTCCTTGTCATGAATGGAAATGGTCCTTTTTCAATAGGCATAAAAAAAATCATTTCATTTTGTATTGTATAAATACATTCCTACAGGGAGTATAACTAATATACAGTATGTCTGCATTCCTACACAACACGTGGTGTAGGCCTAGAATAGACAGTAAAATGATTCAGAATGAAAAACTGGCGCTTTAGCTTATTATGCTTGGAAACAAGCCAACAACAAGAGAAAGTAGTAGGCTCCCTGGCGGTCCCCTGACGACGGACGCGTGAAGAATAAAAAGTACACTAACATTAAAGATTTACAACTTTTGCCGCGTTTAAGTAGTCGTAAGTCCCATGCGAGATCATCATCTTATTCCAGGAAATTCATCTTGCATTTCGACAGAACTGAATATATCTTTAAAGATTTTAAGAATTAAGAAAACTTACTTAGATGAAGTGAGATTATCCACATTTAGATTGTGTAGGCCCAGTACCGGTACTCAATGATTGATTAAGCGGTGAAGCTTGGTTTCGTTCAGTGTACCAATTTTCCTAAACTTTAAATAAGAATGTTAACGGTTCCGGTTTCCAACACTGTACCAGTTAATTTTAGTAATCCGACGTTGTTCGTTTTGATAGCCATAAATTTGTGAAAATATTTGAATAGCGTGGGGATTTTTCTTTGCAAATATCAGTCTACCCTAGGGCATACTAGGCCTACTACTGTACTTAGCAAAACTACTTGAATTAGTTCTAGGCCTACTTATATTCAAAAGTTCACTCTTTTTGACATCTTTGACTAAACATGTATTCACATGTTCAATCGCATTTTTAAATTATATTCTCAATTATGTCACTATAATATTGCGTGATGGAAATATGCACAATTGTTGCCTGTTCTTGGCCTGAACAACCAAGATTATTTAAAACCCAAAATTTTTAAATTAGATTAAAATGTACAAGGCCAACATGTTCGATACGAATATTGCTTTCTTAGGAAATACATTTCTATTCCAAATACCACCAGCGGCCATTTCAATCTTTGACCACATCTAAATTAGTTAAACGTCGATACAACCTTGAAGTTTTACCAAACACAAGGACATGAAATATAGATTTATGCCCCGGCATTATCAAAGTAGTAGAAATCGACTTAGGCCCTATCAGGGAAATATGTAATTCTCTGTTCTCTTGCCAATACCATGTATAATATGCCAAGACGTAATTTTAAAACGCTAAAAATATAAAATAGTACAAACGCAGGGAGACAGAAATCTGTGTGGAACCAAGAAAGTTTGGCAACATCTCTTAACAACCCAAGACTTTCTAAACATTGTTTGGCAGCATTGATGCAAATTTTAGCGTCCGCTAATGTACTTGACCTTCTGGAAAATTCGAAGTTCATTATGCAATTTAGTATAATCAAGAGTTTTTAATAGGACTAGAAGTTGTTCTTCTGTCATACGGCAAGGCTTTGGCCTCAAAATAGCTTTGTTCTTAGAAATCATGTTTATGTCTATTAAAAAGTTCTACCTTACAGATACACCTATATCTTACTACTACAATATTATTGTGCGTTTTACTAACGGTCATAATGAGTAATTCATTAA